AATTTTAATAAGGGGTTTCTGTTTTCCTGCTGAAATTTCCTATCTTTTTATTTTCAGGAGCATATTTTCCTTTACACTCCCTATTTTCTTCATTCATGGTTATAGCCAGTGCTTTAAAAAAAAATCCTTGTCTGCTAATTTCAACATCTGAGTCATCTTGGAGTCGCTTTCCATTAACTGTCCTTTTCTTTTGAGAGCGGGCCCCCTTTTCCTATCTCTGTAGCCAAGTAATTTTGGGTGTGTACCAAACACCATGAATGATACGTTGTAAACACTCTGGATTCTGTTATAATCCAAACAAGGTTAATTTTGCTGTTGTTGTTTCAGCAAACTCATATATTGCCTGGAATTAAATGCATAATCTCCTATCCCCACCCAACCCCAGAGTACATTGTGACTGAAATCTCAGCTCAGTTCCTTTCGCTTTAGTTGAGCTGTCTGGAGTCTGCTCCTGAATGCATGAATGAACATGAGTCATGAATACAAGGTTCAGAGATTGGCCAGATCTTTGGGCAGTTTATACACAGAATTTGGAGCAACTTCTCTCTGTCTCTCTCTTTTCTGGAATTTCTACTCCCACTTTTCAGCAGCTATTTTTTTTTCACTTGTTAGCTTGTTTATGTCTTTCTTTGCATCATTCCAAGTAAGAGGTGCCCACTCTCTGGAACCTCCACTGGCTATCCTTTCCTAATTTCTCTACTGTACCCCAGAACCTGGTAGACACATCCGCCCATTTCTTGCAGCTGTAGACACCTCCTGGCTTTTTCTACTTGGCCAAACTCTGATGCTCTGTCACCTTCATCTGCAGCTCTCTCCTGGTGCCTTCCTCCCTCGGGTAGCAGTGCAGGGGATTGGGCCACAGGTCCTCGCCGATGATCTCAGCAATCCTGTTAGACCCTGGGACGTTGTGGTCTGACAACCAGCTGAGGAAGTTAAGGCTGATGGTGTCCTGCCTGTGGCTGGGGGCTGCCTGTTCGTAATCCCAGAACCACTACTAGCCTGGAGTGGAACAAGACACCTTATATCCAGCAAAGCTAAGCTGATACTCCTTAACGACCAGAAGCAGGGATTCATTCCAAAAGTAGGGGTTGTTCTGAAAGAAAAACATCAACCTGCAGCAGTACTTGGGATGGCCCAGTTCCTGCACCTCCAAATTGATCATGTAGCTGAGCACACCTTTATCTTGGTCCCCGATCATGGCTGACATCCAGGGGTGGTTGGCTTTGGCCCAGAAGCCAAGGATGACCTGGATGACAGCCCTTCTTCGATCCAAATGAGGCTTCCGTCTCTGACCAATTTTGCGCTTTGGCCGAGATTAGGCCCTGCTGGCTAAGGCATTCACAGTGCTCAGTTCCACCTGAAGAACCAGCAGCGCCTCCAGCAGGGGCGGACGGTCCTGGGTCCCCACCCTGGCTCTGCCGGCCCCTGCTCCTGGTGCTCGTCCTCCTCCTCCTCCCCCACCATCTCCACCACCTCCATGATGTCCTCCATCATCAGCACCAATTCCTCCCCCATCCCCTCCCCACACCCGCTGCCGCTGCCACCTGCAAGGACGCCATCCTGAAGATGGTGGCTTCCTCGGTGGTCCCACCAGCCAGTGCCTGCGCCATACTCAGCCCCGCGAAGGCACCAGGAGGCCCGCCGGCCCCTGCCTCCCACAACTAAGACAACCCAGGATTCGTGAGGAGCCCCGCCTTCCCCAGGCCCTGCTTCCCCCGAGCCCTCCCCACCTGGTGGCCCTGGCCCTGAGCAGGGCGGCTGCGAAGGAGGAAGGAGCCGGAGGTGCACGCGCAGCACGTGGCCCGCGGAGCAGGCTCAGCGACCGTGGCTGCCTCGCGCTGGCGCTGCGGGCGGGGTTCTTCCCAGGGCCCCTCCGGCAGCTATTATTATCCCCAATTCTGTCCTCTGGTTATTCAGGGCAGTAAAATTTTGCGTTTTTTATAGAGTTTTAGTTGCCCCTGCACAGCACTGATGGAGACCGCTGAACTGAGGAGCGGGGAATTCACCCGCGATATTCTTGTCTTCCACACGCTGACTCCTTCAAGTATCTGCCTGCTCTGGTCACTCCCCAGTTTCTCACAGTTTAGAGTTGTCATCTATGGTCGAGTTGGTCAGATACAAGCTACTCAGTTGTACTGGAAGCGGAAATCCCTATTTGTCTCACTGAAATAAACAATGTAAATGGTCCCATCTGAGAGATGGTAAAGCTGAGGCCAGGAGAGGAAACAAGGTCACAGTGTGTTTCAGGGAGAGCAATCAGCTATGAATTAAAAAATGAGTTTGGGTTTGTTTTGTTTTGTTTTTTAAGGTAGAATCTTACAATAGTCTGGCTTCTATGCAAAGCTTCTGTTTTGTGTGTTGGTAAATTGGGGATAGTATTAATACAGAGTCAATAGTCATTAAGTGCTTACTAGGTCCAGTGCTAAGCCCCTAAAATGCATTACCTCTTTTAATCCTCCAAACAACTTGATGAGATGGAATTACTTTTATTGGGAGATTTTGCAGAGGGACAGACTGAGGTTTAATGAGGTTGAGCCCAAGGTGACAGTTGCTTGCATGATTAATTAATAATAATAATGGCTCAGGCTGAAATAAGGTGGGTGAAAATGAATTTATGAGAGAGAAATCTGTTTAGCTTGAGGCAAACACTGAGAGGTGAAATAGTGATTGAGGGCATGGCCAAGGTGATATCAGACTGCCTAGGCCTGATATAAATAAAATTGGACCTCCACTCACCAGCATTAATAATTTGGTCCACTTCATACCATCTTTGCATCTCAGCTTTCCCATCTGTGAAATGGTTCTAATAACAGTACCTCCCTTATAGGGTTATTGCGAATATGCAATGAAATAATCCATGTAGTGTGTTTAAAACAATGCCTGGTGTATCATAACCACTCAATGGAGCTGTTCTTTAAAAAGTAGTAATAATATTTATTATCATATATTTTAATAATTATATAATTAATAATAATAATGGTGGGTTATATTTGTTGAACTCAAATTTGTTGAACTTTTATCATGTTGTAGATAACTTGCTAGGTGCTCTACATACATTATCTCATTCAATCCTCCTTCCAACTCTAAGAGGTAAGTGATATTATCACTCCACCTTTTCAGATGGAGAAGTGGGGGCAAGAAGAGGCTAAGTAACTCGCACAACATCACATAGTCTGAGATTTGAACCCAGGCAGATTAGCTCCAAACTCAGTTGCTTAACTTCTATGCCTCATTGCCTTCTTGTTATGACACAACATGAGACCTTATAGGTCCTTAAAGAGGCAAGTCCCCTTCCTCTTAGTAAATACTGGATTGGCTCTAAAGGAATCCGCAAGGCTGTGGGTTTCTGTGGCACATGCACACAGGTGGAACCAGCGAATATCTGTGGGGTCTAAATTGGCCTCAGAACGCACTTCCATCAATTCATCAGACACCCCAGCGTACCACGCAAATGAGGAAATCCTCCTAAGCAGGGATAAACTGCAATAAACTGCAGAGGTTCCCTCATCCTGTTTTTCACTTCATATTTTGGATGCTGCAGGCCGGGTGAGCAGAGGTCCCAGGCTCTGGCCAGGGCAGCCGCCCTGCCTCCGAGCGCTACCATGAATCACTTCCAGACCATCCTGACTCAGGTCCGGATGCTGCTCTCCAGTCATCGGCCGAGTCAGGTGCAGGCACTCCTGGACAACCTGCTGGCAGAGGAGCTTCTCTCCAGGGAGTACCACTATGCCCTGCTCCAGGAGCCCGATGGTGAGGCTCTGGCCCGGAAGATCTCCTTGACCCTGATGGAGAAAGGAGACCCAGAGCTGGCCCTCTTGGGATGGGTCTGGAGTGGGCTGCCGACCTCAGCAGCTGAGAAGGACCCTGGCTACAAGGACCTTGGTGGTAAGTTGGCATCTCCTTTGCGCATGGACAATACCTGGCTGTAGGCAGCTCAGGGATTTTCCCTCTCCTCTCTGAAAGAGAGATCAATGTCATCATCCCTGCACCAAGTTGGGAAGGCAGACTGGATAGGAACCGGGGTCTCTGGTTGAGCTGGCAAGACAAGTGCTTGGAGAACTCAGTCTGTGATGCTGAACGCGCTGGAGAAACACAGGGCACTTCCCAATCTACTTAGAAGCAAAGCCTCCTGGAGGCACGCAGCCAGATGCCCACTTGGGTTGTTCTCTGAGCTGCCCTAATATCACAGGCACGGTGCTGGGCACTGGTGCGGGACACAGATGGACAGATCAGCTCCTGCCTGCAAGTGGGGAAGGTGGATGCAGGCACGATTAGCGTGTTTGAAAGACGGAGAAATGGACCCAAGAGCTGGAGAGCAGAGGTTGCAGTGTGTGCACATGTGTGCGTGTGCATGTGAGTGAGCGTGTGTGTTGTGCATGTATGTGTGGGTGTATGCAAGCGTGCCTGCCAGCACGGTGTGCATATGTGTGGGCGTATGCGTGCATGTGCAAGCATTTGTGTGCGTGCGCAGGCATGCACGAGCGTGTCTGCGCATCTGTGTCATGGAAAGAGACAGAAACTGAAACACTGACAGAGAGGGAGAAAGGAAGGGAGAGACAGGAAAGAAAGAGACAGAGACAGAGATGCAGAGAAGGAGGGAAGGAGGGAGGCAGGATAGGAGGGAGAAAGGAGGAGACAGAGGAAGGAAGACAAGGAGGGAGAAGGTGGGGGAAAGAGAGAATGAAAGAGAGACAGATTAGGAGCCAGACTGCAGGGAAAGAGTGTCTTACTTTTTTTTAAAGAGTATTGATGACACTTGAATCTTAAATCAGAAAAAACAAGCCTATATCACACTCTCTTCACTCATACCCTTGGCTCTGCAAACGTTTTAAGTCTTCCTTCCGTGTTACAAAGAAGTTTCTCACTTTGTTGCAAACAACGTTCTTCCTAAAGACACAGGCTTGTTGAGTCTCCTCGTCGCAAATCTCTGCTTTTCCAATTTTATGACTGGGTGGCTTGGTCCTGCTATGGCTTCAGAGTAACTTGAAACTTGAGATAATAACAATGATTCCATTTACGGAGTATTTACTGTGCGCCAGGCACCATCTAAGCAGGTGGTTCTCACATTCACCCTAAGCCCTTTGATGGTCTCCAACCTTACTTCACACACAAAGAAAAAACAGAGCCTGCCCAGAGGTGACCAACACTGGTCCCCAGATAGCAGGTGGTGGAGGCTGGATCTGCAAGCAGACAAGTTTTTAGCTTCAGTCTGAGGGGTAAAAAGCCTCTTGATGGCCTTGCCATGAACACCAGGGCGGTGTAGTTATTCCTCCTGCTCTTCTGCCGAGATACAAGTTTATGTGGTGTTGGCTGTCCTCGTGGTTAAATTCTCATCCAGGTGGTCTCTATCTGTCCCTTGGACGCTTCCTCCTAACAGACCCCGAGGGATGGGGGGGTGGGGCATCTTTACCACCTGAGTGACCTTCCTGACTTCCTAGTGGGAGTGCAAGCAGCTCGTGTGGTCTGGATGGAGCTGCAGGTGCCAGCCTGGGGGGATGTCAAAGCGATTTGCTCCCTGCAAAGTACAGCCTCCTTCACACCGCTCGCTCCTTTCCAACACCTCTGCCCCTCCCTCCTCCTCTCTCTGCTACGGCTGGTTTCTGTTCTTGAACTCTGTTTCCTCCCTGGGGATGTAATATTTTTATTTCTGATCCCATGTGATTCTAGAAAGGGAACTGGGCTCGTGGCAGTGTGGTCTCCAGCAGGCAGGGAGACAGGGAAGGACAAATCACTTCCTTTCCCTGCTGCTCCCCACCCTCCAGGTCAGTAAGACTCAACCCAGACTGGGGCAGGTGTGCTGCTGCGGGGCACGGGGGCGAGCAGCCTTCAGAGGGGGAGAAGGAGAAGGGGAAAGAGAAACACGTGGTTTGTGTGTAAAGGGCACTGTCTGTAGTTTCAAAAGTGGTTCAGAAAAGGAAATACATGTGTGAAGCTTTGTAACTCTCTCTGCAACCCTGTACTGGTCTTCACCCGCCACTGCTCCAAACCCTGCACCAACTCCCTGTGTCACTGCAAGGAAAGCCAAATTGGCACGGTTTCCGCAAGGCCCTTCACCATCTGCCTTTCATCACTGCGCTGCCCGCAGCCTGTGCTTCTGCCTTCCTGTCTTCTCCAGACACGCTGGCACCCTCGCTGTCTCTGACACGGGCCTGGGATGCTCGCTGCCACAGGACCTCTGCACGTGCTGTTCCCTCCACCTGGGACACTCTTCTCCAGGGCCAACCTCCTTGAATCCTTTAGCTCTTTTCTCAAATGACACCTTCTCCAGGAAGCCTACCTCGACCATCCCATTTAGAATTGCAACTCCCCCTCTGCATTCTGAGTGCCCCCCATTGACGTTTTCACCTTCTATATATCTTATTTTTGTATTATGCTTGTTGTTTATTGTCTGACTCACCCACCGGAAAATAAGCTCCCTGTGGGCAGGGATCTGTGCTGTCATCACAGACGCATCCCAAATGCTTAACACAGTGCCTGGCACAAGATAGGTGTATGATCTGTGTTTGTTGAATATTAAGTTGATAGATGGATAAATGGATGGATGGGTGGATGGATAGGTGGATGGGTGATAGGTGGGTAGATGGGTGACTGGAGAGGTGAATGGATGATGAGTAAGTGGATGGATGGGGGATAAGTGGGCAGGGGAGTGGGTGGATACGTGGATGCGGGATGAGTGGGGGGTGGGCGGTTCATGTACCGCTATTATTCTCACTGTACAGATGAGTACACAGAGGCTCAGGGAGATTAAGTGGTTTGCCTCGGTTATTGCCTGGGGATGGGAGGTTATTGGATCTCGTGAGTCCAGACCTATCACTGTACTTTCTGCTTGGCTGCTGTTTCTGAGTAACTCAAAGGGATATCGTAAGTCTACCGAGAATAGGCTGGCCATCTTCAAACTGAAACGCGGCTGATGATTCAGAACTCATCTTCAGATATTGCAACGCTTCAGTTGCAATTGTGCAGAAACCCACTTCTGGAAACGCGACCTTGAGGGTTGACTCCATGCTGCACGGAGCAGAACGTGAGCATCCAGCCCCAGGCAAAGTCGGGGGAGGCCCAGGAGTCCTGACAGCCTCAATGAGGAATCAAAGCAAACACTCAGTCACACCGGGGGGTGGGTGGCGGGGGCAATCAGAGGCCAGAGAAGAGAGAGAATGGCAGTGCTGGAAAAAGAAACAGGCTGGAAGCTAGACAGCTCTGGTTCTGAGACCATGCTCTGCTACTTACAAACTGTGTGACCTTGGCCATGTGACTGAACTACTCTGACCCTCGATTTCTTCATCTCTAAAATGGGAGTGATGACATAAACCTCCCAGGGCTATAGCAAGGATTAGATGAGACGGTAGCTGGGAAGCTTTCCAAGGCAGTGCTTGATGTTAAACAAATAACTCTAGAGGGGGGTTAACAGCAAGGAGAATTGGATGGGGAGTGGGGAATAAACCAGAGGTTTGAGTCTGCAGTCTCATTGGGGCCCCACATCATGTACACACCTACCCCAGGGCTGAGTTCTTGGGTGCTGTGTGCATCTGAGAAATGAGCCAATGTGACCCCCACCCTCGGGTTGGCACATGGGTTAAGCACATGGGCTGTGGCCTCAGTGCCAAGTTGTGACCCCCTGATTCCAAAGGGTATGACTGTGAGCACTTCCTGGGACCCCTGTTTGCCTCAGATTCCCCATCTATAAAATGGAGGTGATACTGGTACCCAGAGTGGCTATTCTGAGAATTCAGTACCATCATCCAAAATAAGGAACATGTATTCCTGGCAAAAGGAAAGCTCCCCATTCTGATTCATCAGCCTAGAGGGCGCTGTTTGGTGCAACCAGAGGCTGAAGGTGAACAGAAGGATGACTAGGGTCAGGCCCAGCCGGCCTCGGATTTGTGTCTTTGGGGGACACTTCCTCAGAGGCTGTAGGATGCCCCTGCCGCGGTCTTACATATTGTTGTTTTCTTTGGCTTTCTTTTGTTGTTGTGTAACTCTGTGTTTTTATGATGTGGGGTTGTTTTTGCCCATGAAGACTGTTCTAGGAACCACAGAACAAAGTCTCCTTCTAGGATGTTGCTAGATTTCTTGGAAAGGGAGGGACACACCCCAGGCCGCCAAGCTCTTTGTCCAGCTTCCTTCCCCATTTGGTTCTTGGGATGAGAGTCACCAGAGCCCAGACAGGGAGATGAGAGGGGCTGTGCCCCCCTCCCTCCTCCGTCCTTTCCCCAAACCCAGCCCTGCTCTGAGCTGATCGGGGAGCCTCCTTTGACTCCCAGAAGGAGATGCGTCAGTGTTTTTCCACCTTGAGCGGCTGCCAGCCAGCCAGCCCCACTTCACCTTCACCCATAGGAGCCGCAGAAGGAGAAGCACCTGCACAGGAAGTTGGCGGGTCCCCACGGGTTTTCCTGGGCTGACCAGTCTGTACTCGGCTTGGCTCCAAGCCTGGGGCCTGACCCAGCCAGGGACCGTTTCTGTTCTTTGTTGTTGTTACCTGGAGCAGCTCACCTGTGTCCTTCCTTAACATCTGCTGGTCTCTCCAGCTACCTGCCCATCCACCCACCTGCCTGCCCTCATGCTTACCTGGGCTACCTATCCACCTACTAACACTGACTTATCAATTCCTCAACTTACAACTACTATCTACTTCTATCTACTTATCAATTTATCAGTCTCTCTCTTTGTCTAATTGCCTGTATATTTATGTACCACCTAATTTACCTGCCTTCCTACCAACTAATCCACCTGTATATTTACTCATGAGTTGCTACAGTCTCATGTCTCTTCCCACATGCCCAACTTGCCTACATACCAGTATCATTCTGTGTATTTATCCACCTGTCCACCGATCTCTTTTCCTTCCTTTCTCACCTCCTTCCTTCCCTCCTCTTTAATCATTTATT